GTGTCACTATATCGATTCAACGTGTCAGCCTGTTTCAATGGTACCATTTCACAATACCCTGGGGTATAAGTTTCCATGCTTACCAGTCATCCATGGGGCGATTAAATTGATGCTGATGTTTTTCTCCGGTAGTTTAGATCTTAGCCCACGCATGAGACCTAATGCCCCAGCTTTGGCAGCGCAGTACAAGAATAGTGGTGGAGTGTCGATAAGGCTGTCATAGTAAGACACACACTTCGTCAGCACACGGATCTGTAGGCTGAATCACAGATGTATTTGGCTTAACATACCTTGCTGCGGAGCCTGTAATTACAAGCTGGTACTTTTTGTCCCCTTCCTGCTTCTGGAAGAAGTGCACAGCGGCTTTTGTGGTGTAAAGGACGCCATGAAGATTGATTTCAATGTTCTTCAAAATGGGTGCTTTGAGCCTTCCGCTTTCGTCTAATTCATCGTCGATAAGACTATCAAACGAATGAATTCCTGCATTGGCGTAAACCACGTCAATGGATCCAAAATTCTCGTAAGTGGCTTCAAATGCACTCAGGATTGAGTCCCATTTTGAAACATCAGCGTAGAGAAAGCGTGTTTTTCTGAGAGCGAAGAGTTAGATTGTTAGACCACTGACCGTGAGCAAAGAGGAATCCAATGCATACTCGCCGAGTTCTGCAGCCAGAAGTTGCCCTGCTTCTTTGTCTACGTCCAAGATCGCAACATTTGCACCAGCCCCTTTTCAGTTGTAAGCAAAGAAGATATAAGTCCCAGACATGCTCACCATGTGCAAGAAGCACCAGTGCCCGTCCAATCCCAGAAGCACCGCCTGTTATCAGTATTGTTCGCCCTTTGAGCTCTGCGAGTTCTGAGTCTGAGATTGGTTGCAAGGTCGTCATGTTGATTGATGCTACCACTTGAGCACTTACACCGGGATTTTTGGGTTGGTGCCAATGGTAAGACTTTCTTACTTCGAATCCAAAATTTCTGTTTCAGATGACTTGGCTGCCCGTAGATTAGAAGTCCGCGATTAACCACGACTTATACAGGAGAAATCTCCCTACACCAATAACCCACTGTACTTGGTCACAGGCCAAATGAGATCAACGGTCAGATGCTGGGCGTCCATGTGGTGGGGATGTGGGGTAAAAGTGACCCTGGCGGAGGCTCACGCTGTAGATTCAAGCTACGATTAACCTAATTCGTCAGGATAGACGGACCTGGTTCTCACGACTTGTCTCTAAGTCGCGACATGGGGGACTTGGTGGGATTTTCGAATCAGGCGTGTTGCTGATTCTCCGTAATCTTCCTTAAATTTGGCCAAGCGCACTTCCTATATGTTTACGGATGGGAATCTGGTAAGGACACTGAAAGCCCTGCGCTCTGACTAAGAACTGTTTCGTTCAAAAAGTGTGCTATATCAAAACGAGAAAGTTCTTTTGACGATACACATCACTTCAAGGACAGTTGAAATGGCTGACACTACCAAGCGCGAACTAAAACCCGGAGTTTACGCCGCAACCCTTACGTTCTTCGATTCAAAGACTTATGATCTTGACGTCGAGACCTTGAAAAAACATGTTACTCGTCTGGCAGATGCAGGCCTGTCTGGGATCATCACACTCGGCTCAAATGGCGAAGCAGCACACTTGAGCGGCGAGGAGAAGAAACTAGTAACAAAGATCACCGCGGAAGCCTTGGCCAGTTCAGGCCATAAAGACCTACCCATCATCGTCGGATCTTCAGCACAATCCGTGAGAGAGACGATTGCTTTATGCCACGATGCCGCAGATGCCGGGGGCTCGCATGTCCTCGTCCTGCCTCCATGTTACTACAAGGCTGGGATGACAGAGGACGTCATCTACAGCTTCTATATGCAGGTTGCCACTGCATCGCCCTTACCTCTCGTCCTTTATAGCTTCCCAGCAGTGACGGCAGGAATCGAAATGAGCTCTGACCTTCTAATCCGCATTTCCAAGGGACATCCAAACATCGTCGGTACCAAGTTCACATGCGGCGATACGGGAAAGCTTGCGCGTGTTGCTCGCGCCATGGGCGCAATGACCCCTAACGAACAGAAGAATTCTTACTGGGCCGTCGCTGGGCTGGCAGACTTCACACTCCAAGCACTGGTAGTAGGGGGGTCTGGTGTCATAGCAGGAGGGGCAAATATCCTTCCTAAAACGTGCTGCAAGGTCTTTCAGCTGTTTGAGGAGGGAAAGATTGATGAGGCGATGAAAGTACAATCTCTCCTGGCTGAGGGAGATTGGCCTCATACCGCTGGAGGTATAGGCGGGACTAAGTCGGTTCTGCAGCAATTCTTCGGCTATGGAGGCGTCCCACGGCCACCGCTGGGGCCGGTGTCGAGTGAAACTACGTCTGCTTTGTCAACACGCATGCAAGAAGTGATTGATTTCGAGAACGCGTGCTGAGGGGATAAGCATATCTTCGGGTTAGATAGAGGAATGAGTGAGGATCTCAGAACTAGATTAGCGTGAGATATCTTGCCAATATGTCCTAAGGTGCATGAAATAATATTCATTGCTTTAAGATACAGCAGCACCAATCTGATCTTGCAATAATTGTCTGATATCTAGTAATTATGCAGACACACATCATCTCAACGCAAGGGTATTTGGTCTGGGTCGAAAAGTGACCCATGTGTAGCTACGAACATCGATAACTTCCAGCATCCTGGTCCAAGATAGTTTTGAGAGTGTTGGGCTTATTTCGGAAACACATGACGCATAGGTGTCCATCACAGAATAAAGTCGCATCACAGCGCTGGGGTTGATATGTGGGGTTGACACACTCTTGATGGGCGGATGTTCGCCGGCCGTATGTTCGCCGGCCGTATGAACGCAGAAGTCAAATTAATTTGCCACTTCTGGAGCTGCTTTTGGACATTTTGCGCTTGATAACCCGATCGCTCTATCTCTGGTGTCCGACTTGCACGAAACAAATCCTGCGTTTTGAGGACTCCCTCAAAACAAAATCACTCAGCCACGAAATGACAACATACAACGTTGAGGATTCAGAGTTTGCTGCATTGAAAGGAAAAACGATACTGTTGACGGGATGTGCGACGGGCATTGGAAGAGAGACCGCCTATCTTGTACATAGTGAGTCAGTCACCTTGCTTTGTATTTTGGGTTGTGAAGGCAGAGGGAGCTGCCGTCTTGCCCCAACATCGCCAGACTCAACATGGAATCAACGAGTGCAAGGCAAGAAGACAAGCTGACGGTTCATAGGGAATGGAGCGAACCTCATTCTTGGAGACTGGCTGGGGACAGAAGGCGAGGCCCTAGCAGCGGAGCTCAAAGAGTGAGTGACCTCGTCCAACCACACACCCAGCGAGCGCTGAGAAGCTTTTAACCACCCTCTAGGCGAGTTTTATTTCAAAAATGCGACGTCTCGTCATGGTCAGATGTTCTCTCCTTGTTCGAAGCTGGCTGGCAGAAGTTCAAAGCCTTGGACATCGTGCTCGCAAATGCTGGCATAAATGAGGTTGGAAACCTGCTTGATGAGAGTATCGACCCCCAAACTGGTCTTTTGGAAGCACCCAAGCTGCAGACGCTGAATGTGAATCTCCTGGGAGTCATGTATACCACCAAATGTGCTGTCCACTACTTTGCAAAACAAACGAACAAACAATTTCAGATCGTGGTGACTGGGTCTGCTGCGTGGTAAGAGATACTGAATCTGAACCTCTACTGCAATGTCAAAGCTGATCAAGACTTTTGTACGCAGTTTCCTCGATACTCCTCCCCTTCATGTTTATGGAGTTTCCAAAGCAGGGGTTATGGGCTTGATGCGGTCTCTGCGAACACAGTTGCCTCGCAACTCCAACGCCACCATTAACATGGTGGCTCCATGGATGACACGTAACTTTTCAGTCTATCTAGCCAGAACGTCTGACTAACCAGAGTGATCTAGTAACACCAATGCTCAAGCCCGAATTTCTGGCAGTTTGGGGAGATTTGCCTGCCAACGAGCCCATAGGCGTCGCACGAGCACTTCTGTTACCAGGCATCCGTCCAGACTTGAACGGAAAATCCTTCTTCGTTGCTGGGCACCAGATTGTAGATTTCGAAGACGGTTTGCGGGAAACGCAGCCTCAGTGGATGGGGGAGGAGCTTAGCAAGCATACCGATGAAGGCCAAAGGCGAATTGTTCCTTGATTAAGATCAGGACACGAGTTTGGGGCTTCCTAGGTAGTCCTCCTTGCAGGTGAAGGCAGAAGCCACCAAGGACGGCCTTGTCGAGAAAGATCATATACCAGCCTTGTCGCAGTCACCGAGCAAAAATATCGCATAGAGAAGCCTGTCGACCTCGATGACCAACCAACTTGATCACACTCCTCGCCACGGAAGGCACAGACCAATTAGCCGTCGGGTTGAAACCATTCTGTAGGCAGCATCTAGTGGTGCCCGAATTGAAGAAACACACCATAGCCGATTAGTGGCCTGCTTCATGCTGAACTATGCTGATCACCCACTCAAATGATGGAGAAATATAATGTTTTTAATATAAATTTTACTAGTCTTTCCTCGTTGTGCGTGGAAAAAAATGGCATTACTTATTCTGCCCACCTAAATTTGCCAACTCAGACACCCACTAGGTGAGGCAGGCAGGGCAGCCTAGGGCAGGTAGCAGCTTGACGACTTTTTACCGGATTAGAATTTCAAATTTCACTCATCTTAGCACTACGCAGTTCAGCTAGCATAATTTTTAATGCTCACTGCGAAACACTGCAGGGTGCACGTTCCCCCGCCTGACTCGCCTGTAACACCCGAGTGACGCTCCTTGGCCTCCCCGCTTTCTCCATTTCGCAGCTCGGAGGCCCTAGCCCTTCGTAGCTCCGGGTTGGGGCAGTTCGAGTCGTAGTGACTAAATGAGAATCAGACTTTTTTGAGACATCGGCAGAGCCTGCGTCAGAGCCATCCCTCTTTCGCACTGCGTTTACCGCAGCGCAGCGCAGTTTTAGCAACGACGACATGGCACCATCCACAATGCCCTTCACGTTCGTTCACGAGACTTCACGATCTGCTGCCGAAGGCTCACTCCCCGAGGTTCCCTCTAGAGGACGGAGCCATGTATGCGAAGTATGCGATAAACATTTCAAGAGAAGTGAGCACCTTTTGCGACACGTACGAGCGCGTAAGAATTCATGACTCATCTCCTCCTTCGATTCAAGAGCTGATATCGAAACAGATCGGCAAGAAAAGCCATTCAGATGCAGATATTGCCCAAAGGGCTTTGCGAGAAAGTGCGTATTAGCAATTAGCCAAAAGTGAATTTGAAGGCTTACTATAACTCGGTAGAGATCTCTTGACTCGACATGAGAAGACCTTGCACGCCGCTGAATACAAAGAGCCTGAAAATCACTCCCAGCGAGGCCAACGGAAAAACTCGAAACGTCACTATTCCAATTCCTCTGGCAGTCTCATTAAACCCCCTCCAAGTGGCGATAAGGAAACAACGCACAATATCGGTGACAGCCAAACAATCGAAATTTCTGTACGGGGAGACCTTGTTGCTGGTTCTTTTCATGGACTTAGTCCTACAGGAGACGCTGTGAGCGCAACCAGGGGCCCGTTGAATAATTTCAATCCTCAAACGGCCGTTTCACCCTTTTATTCCGGATTCGATATTGATATAACACCACAACAGCAAACCAGCCTCCTTGACACATCTCTGCCTGTACTTGGCTCCATTCCGCCTAGCAACAACCATGGAACTACGGTTGATCAAACTCAAGCAGAAGAGCAAAGTATGCCATCGCCGCCCAGATCGTCCAAAGACACTGATGATCAGCTGCAAAGTTTCCCCATGCCGCCAGACCTAGAGAACCCTGGCTTTTTCACTATGCTTGATGACTCCCTGTTCGCACAAGTGCTGTTTCCACTGGAGTTGATGGATTTCGAAATCTCTCCACAATCGTTCGAACACGATGGTGCCGTCTCAAGCACAAATCTTGATGCTCCATTGAGTACAGGAGAAAACATGCAACAGGACCGCATTAGCACAGATTTCAGCTCAGCGCTCGACCAAAATACTGGACAGGCTATTCCTCCACCAACTTCCGGCCGGAAAGGCCGCAAGGCGAAGCGGGCAGCGATCGACGATGCTATCAAGGCGATATTACTGGATGATCTACGAAACAATTACAGAGTCGCTGATGAGCAATTAAGGAAACTTCCCAGCGCTCGAGTCTTGGATAATTTTCTCTGGAAATTCTTCCAATGCTTCCAAAGACATCTTCCAATATTCCATGTCCCAACTTTCAGTCCAGCAACAACTGCTGGCCCTTTGCTGTTGGCATTGTGTTCAATCGGAGCGCTTTACAGTCTCAATCGTAAGCATGGTAGTCTTCTTCGCCTGATCGCAAGCGCTGCCATTAGCTCTGTCAGGCCAGGCAAGTATAGGGGACAACAAGCTCCTTTGGAACCAATTTGGCAGACACAGTGCAACCTTCTCATCACCTTTGGAGCGATCTTTGGAGGTAGCCTAGGAGATGCAACTGATGGCTTATCGGAACTAGGCTTAGCTATACGGCCCTATGCTTTACGCCGTGGAATGCTTTCCACTCAATCACTTGCTGAAAATGTCTCCACGTGGGAGGACTGGATCAACTACGAGTCAGCAAAAAGGCTCCTTTGCGGCATATACATTGCCAGTAGCCTCAATTCCGCCACATACGACATTTCGCCTGGCTTCTCCGGTTCTCGGGATCTGAATTTTGAGATACCCATCGAAGAATCCATCTGGGAAGCTGAGACGAGGGAGGAATGGCAACAACTCATGAACATCCAGCAACTCGAGAAGCCCGCAACTATTAATGCTGTGCTGAATCAAATTGTCTTTGGGAAAGAAACAAGGTATTCAACACAGACCTTTGCTAATATTGGTGCTTTTGCGGCCACGGTGGTCCTGCATGGTGTCAATGTTCACATGTACTATTTGGCCCAGAGTATGTCATCTCTTATGGTAGTCAATGTTGAACCAAACCTTGGATCTGCAATGAGGCTCTCACATCATACTCAGACAGAAGTGGCACTTAGCAGGTGCCGGGAATTTCTCAAGGCATGGCAGCTTGCGCACGATGATTCACAACAAAACCGACACGAGGAGTCCTTGATATTTAATTGCCAATCACTACTACGACTATCTTATGTCCGAGTCTTTAGCGGTATACAGCAATTCAACCGCACTACGCTTCTGTACGAGGACACTGCTGCTATTCTGATGGCAGCCAACTCATACGTGACTGCACCTCAGTCTCGCAATGCTTTCTTGACCAAGGCTGTGGAACAGGTCATGTTTTGCTTCACGGTGCCTATCCGGGCCGGGCACATGACGACCAGGAAGACAGCTGCTTTCACATGGAGCATTGAACACGCTGTTGCTTCGTGGGAATGCAATCTCTTCCTGAGCAAATGGGTTCACACAGTCGAGATTCAGGAGAGAGATGTACCACTGAGTCAAGAAGAGAAGGCGCTACTTGAGACGCTAAAGGAAGCTTTGCAAGACGCAGACAGTCCCTACGATGACCAGATATCACTTGCAGCTCAAGTAACACGGACGTGGGCGTTGTTTATGGATGATGTTTGGGTATGGGAGATCACATTACGCATGGGAAGCGTGTTACGACAGGTCGCTGATGTCTACGACCAATCATGGCAGCAGCACCGGATATGTAATCCTCCGTGACAGTTACTCGATTTAGTTAAATGATTGACGAGCTTCGAACTCCATCTCTCAATGCGCAGTTTCTCAGTGCCTGAATCCCCATCTCGGCTTAATCTTTCCTCTCACTCGGGTTTCATCCTTCGATATGTATCCCCCCCTTAATTACTTCATCTCATACTTGGGGGCCAATTGAGGGCGCGGAGCGGGCACGAGTTCGACAGTGAAAGTCTGTTTGCCTGATGAGCCACACATTCTTTGTTTTCCGACCAGAGTCTGCATGAGGAAATTCAAAGTCGTATCTGAGCCGGCGCCAATGCTTGTGATGCAGACAGAAAATATGTCGTCCTTGTTCATCTTCTTCGGGTCTTGGTCATATATAGCGAGTAGTTTAGTAAGGAAATCTGCTGGCCAAGTCCTATTCTCCGCCTTAGTTGCTGTGTGATTTCGAAAGCGGGCGTCAACTCTCTGAGAAGAGCCCTATATGCGCGATCCCGGAAGCCTTTTGTTACGTTTCGCTCCACCTAGGGTGTCACAACACGTAGGGTTTCTTGGCAAGTGGGAAGTATAGGAGGGACGGTGTCACAAAGAGCGTGTAGTATACTTGAGCGGACTGGTATACTAGAAGCGAAGTGATCACAACCAAAACGTATGGGTATGATCGTGAACGAAGTTGACTACGTGGTAAAGCTATGTAACGACTGTGTATATATAGTCTACCGCGCTCAGTGGTGCTCAGCCGGAGCACACTGAGCGTCGCTGAGCACTGACTGCTGTTATGGGAAGGTGCTCAGTAGTGATCAGTTGTCAGCACACTGAGCCAACTGAGCACATCACGTGACGTGGAGCGAGGATGGTGCTCGCGCCGCCTCGGTCGACCTTCCCTTTCAGCCACAGGCCGACTTGTAACACCTTTGTCGAAGCCTTCTGGTGCACCCGAAATAGCCACTTCTGCCATTCACTGTATACGCCAACCCGTGCGACGTAGAAAAGGTACTGACGTAAACTTGCCATGATACCTTGGATGTCGTGACATCAAACGCGTAGCATTGAGTCCACTGAGGTACGTCAATGAGAACATCATTCCTTGCAAAAGTGTGCAACTTTTCCAACAGAATTTTTGTGCAGCTATCGACAAAAGTTTTCAACGAGACCATGTTTGTCATAGAGTAGGCAGACGCAACCTTGCGCCTAGATGCTGAATGTCGACGGGGGTCATGCTCCGCGAATAAGGTCGGCAGAGTGGATTTCGGGTTTCCGACGCCTTCGTACCAAGGAGCTTGACATTCGAGCGTCAGCCAGTGAATCAAGTTAATGGACATGGCAAGGTCGGCATGTTCTCAGCTTCGCCGCATAGAGATCAATATGAACCGAATTCAGATTCTGGATAAACAAGACTATTGCGATCTGTTGAACCAACCTTGATGAAACTCTTGCGAGCGCCATATAGAATCGCCACGGTTGCCGGATCATCGATGCTGTATTGTCCAGGCGCAATACGTACTACAGGGTCTTTGTTACGTGGAGACATGTCAGTATTAAATACATTGTCATGAGGCTGAAGCTTGGCTTCAGCTGGGCATAAAATCTAACCCTGTCTGCAGTGCAAGTCAATCAGACCTTGAGGAAGCGAGCCCCTGTATACCTCATAAAGAAGCCATAACCGCGTGACTCTTGCCGCAATCGGACAGGGAATCTTGGAAAGGGGGTCCGCGAAAGTCGTATAGAGACGATGGAGTATGAATATGACGATCACAGCGAAGCAGACCGTGGTAAAATTTTGAGCCATCGCAAGTAGGGTCATGATTGGCTTTCCGAAAAATCTTGGTATACCGAAACCAAGCTTATTGCATGCATATGAAGAGGACTCCAATTACATTGTCCGCGGTTCTCATAAGATTGAGATGTCTCCAACTTTAACCTAGGGCTGGGCTGTGGTCGATTTCCTATCCGGCTGATGCCAATTCTCCTGCAAACCCTTAATGACGAACTGGGAATGTGGGAAATCCGCCCACCCCACGAATACTGGTCGACCCGGTTCCACAAACAGCCAGTACGCTTTGGCATGTTGGTATAGTCTTGTCTCTGTGGAGGGTGGATGTTTAGCAACTCAAACTTCTTGCAGCCCTTGCAACAATATCACTACCTGACAGATTAATTTTAGGGTTGGTGGGGCGAATACTAAGGATATATACACTTGGGAGTTCTAACTTTGCTACTTCGAAGGCACTGTGAGCACATCGCTGAGAGATTAGCACGCCACCAGGGGTAATGCTGCTTCGATTGTCAGAACAGTGCCTTGTGCAAAACTGCTGAGGCTTTATGCTGTCCAATGAAGTTGGACATTGGCCTCATTTCAGGGACCGTATCTGGTGTTCTTCGCTTTGCTGCGACGATAGTAAAGATATCCAAGCACTTGTGTAACAAAACGCACAGCCCCTGACGAACCAGCAGGCCAAAGGAAACCGCTCCTGCTAGAAAACATCGGTTACCATAGGGCGTTTTCTCCACATTTCATAAGATCCGAACATGAAATGGGGTCGCTAAAGGCGGGGCTGCTTTTGCAGGGTGGAGACTCGGAATGGATTGGTTTGTTTGGACTGTCACTGAGGGGTAGTGAGGCTGTCTGGAAAGTGAGCCGTGTTTTGATAATTGTGTATCAAAAACATGTAAGCTTTTGGAATGGTGAAGGGTAGTTGAATTGACAAGATTGGCTGACAATCTACTATTGAGCGCGAACATCTTCGCTCCTGTCTAATGCCCGCTTCATGCCTTGCCTATATTCAGCTCCTTCAAGAATGCTAGCGTGGCATCAATGCATGCATCCGGTGCCTCTGCGAAGATCTCATGGCCTTGTGCCTCAATTTCCACAAGTTTTGCTTGCGGCACCTGAGAGGCAACCCAGTGTGATTCAGCCAATGGGGTAGCGGCGCTTTTCGTAGGTGCCAATATCAGGTAGGGACATTTGATGTCCTTGAGAAAAGGCCTGGATGTGAGAGTGGTGAGAAAGATAACATAGCCAGCCAGGCCCTCCCTCGGTGTCTTTCCGGCCTCACTAACAAGGTATTCTAGGTAGTCAGATTTTACAGGCAACGTCCCAGGGTTCTTTCCAAGTGCTTCATTCCAACCCCTCGTACCAAGTTTCATTACTGCCTCTGGCCAGGATGGCTCTCCAACCCGAAACATTTCAATTGCCGCAGGTGGCAGCATTGTGGGCGATGAACAAGTGATGAGTGCTAGCGTTCGGTCTGGATATCTGGCCGCAAACGCATGGCCAACCTCGCCAGATGTGGCCTCACCAAAGAAAACGAGCTTTTCAACCCCAAGCTGATCCAACATATCGACAATTTCTTCAAGCATAGTATCGATGTCCCACTTATAGTTGTTCTCATATTCGTTATTTTCCTGGTCGCTCCAAGGGGACAGGCGTTTAGGAAAACTAGACTTTCCATGGCCGCGGTTGTCGCGGCGTATAACGATGAAGTCGCGAGCGAAGCGTGGAACCCAGTGATACCACACAGAGGCTGTTCGAGCACATCCATGACTGAACATAATCACAGGCTTTTTGGAGGCAGGCAGCCAGGGATCAGTAAAAGTGTCGAGATAATAATGAGACACTTGTCCGTTTGGGTGAGTCACATAGTAGCCCTCTGGCTGTTCGAAAGCGCCGCGAAACGGCAGCTTATTGGTTGACGTCATGTTGGTATCTGCTCTCAGGCTTATCGACAGATTTCTAAACAACTCAAGCAAATACGAGGCAGTGTTCCCGCATTTATAGGTGATCGGGCCCCGGAAAAGAGACGTTGTGGGATGTTGACTTGCGAATGTGGGGTATGGGTTGTGAGTTGTGCTACCCATACCAGGAAACTCAAAGAGCCCTTACGTAATCTACGGCACTAACAACACCTGGACGAGACGACCGGAGAATTCCCATTGCTATGTGATATTGAATCTGGCTTACACTCACCCACTCCACTCACAGCCTCACACCCTCTTTCACCAGCCCCGTCTTATGTGACACTGACTCTCCCTCTGAGCGTAATCCCGAGTCGTCAGCGCCGAGCTCCCATCCCTTACCACGGTATTTCTTGGGCCAAATACCCGATCTGCCAGGCGCAAGGATGCCGTTAGGGTCTAGAGAGTCCTTGAGTAGTTCTTGGAATCGCATCAGCGAGCTGTTGTTCCAGTTGTAGGTTGCCGCAACCTGATCCTGTAGAAGCAGATGCGTCCGATATTCTCCAAAGCCCTCGGCCGCTGCATCTTTGATCATGCCTCTCATGCATCTGTATGCGTTGGCTTTCGAGACAGGGTCTCCTTTGTTGTACACCATGTTGACAATGAGATACATCTCACGCAGGCCAACACAGCATGCTGGGAAGGAGTCCAAGTCACAAATATCATGCCACTTCTTAGCGATCTAAAATTGTGTCAATGAGCGTTGTAAAATCCAGCAATAGTACTCACCTTGAACAACTTCAAGGCGTCTTCACCCCTTGGGGCAGAGACTGGGCTGAAAAACACATGAGCTCCGTTTGGCTATGAGGGTTTAGTTTCAATTCAGCTTCATGACAGACTTGGGTATGACATACATGCCAGTTGAGCCATCTCAATTCTTCAAATTCTGGTACGCCACTTGAAATCTTCTCACGCGAGAAGAAATAATGGTCTTTCGGTAGAGTCTCTCGGGGAATCCATCTGGCACCTGGAATCGTCTCGAAAGCTTTTCTGATTAACTTCAACTTTTGATCTCTACTCTCTTTCGGTCTGTGTATCATTGATGTCAGAGACTTTTCGTAAGGATGGTAATGGTCTGCTTACCCGTAGGCTGATCCGTAAAATACCCAAGAACAATCGCCACATGGTAGCCCTGATGCTATCTTGCGCAATACTTCTATCGGGATCTGACCTTTACCCTGGTACCACTCTGACCGAGGCTTACCGAGGAGAGCAACCTCTTGCACCACATGCTTAAGCTGGGCAACATTCTGAAGGATATTCCGTACCCTGAGTGGGCGAATGACTTC